GATATACGCACAGCCAGAGTTGCGCGCTGCTGCAGCCGGTTTGACCACTAGTCCGTTTTACGGACGGCTGACGGACAGCAGCCAACGCGCGTCAACGGAGACGCGCCCGGTGGAGTCGGGGGGTAAGAAATGCATAGAAGAGGTTGTATAGTCTCAGTTCAATTAATTTAAGCAAATAATGATTCGCACTGCTGCTACAACCTGGTACAATACATCTCTCTCTTGGCTGATGTTTATTGTATACTGTCCCTGTAAAATATGAAAATCATACTATACCATAGCTTCCATCTGCTTATTCCACAAAAAGGCAAACAATATGGGTGACATAAGCGGGATAGTTCACTCCCTCTACAGTCTATGATATAAAGCCAGGAAGAAGCGACAGATCATTTGAATGAGGGCCTTTGGGGACAGGGCGTTCTTTTATGCAAGACTCTATAATAAAATCCATCAATGAATCATCTCAGCTTTATTTACAGTTGTGCCCATCACCTTGAATGACAGGTCCTGAAATCATTACATAAGTTAGTCATGTCAAAACAGTACTTTTTATTGTCAGTACCGCGGAGGCGAATATTAACTGTAACGTCGAGAACCTGAGGCAAGAGTGATCTAAAATGAAACTTGAAATTGCGACACAGTAGTTTGATAGAAGAGGCAGCCGACAGAATCAAAACAGAGGATTAGAAAGAGGAAGGACAGTCAAAGCAATACTAAAGCACACCTGCATTCACAGATAGAGAAAAGCTGCTACATGGAAATGATTAGTGTGATCGTTCCGGGTAAATGTCTGCTTTTGATTTCAAACAGAACATGTCACAATGATGTGTGCGTGTGTTTGTGCTACAGCTTTCTCAAGTCTGAATGAACAAACTGCAGTATAATGTAACTTTCTCCATTCTGCAAGGACAGGAACTAATCAACCCCTCGGTGTGAGCATATCTTAGGTGAAATCAAGGGTAAACAATTCAGGTCACAGGTTTCTCAGAATAGAGGAAGTTTCCTGGATGAGAGCTTAAGGACTTCCAGATGCCTCCTTCACTCTCGTTATGACAGTGTTTGATTTTTGAGTATAAAAGAAAGTTAACTAGACCAGAGGAAGTAAAACGGGAAAATTATCCAAAGAAATTAAGCAGCATAAATGTGAAAGATGTGTCCACTGATTACCCACTTATGCAGCAATTGAATTTGTCACGTATGCAGCTCTCTACTCTAACAATACCTTAACTATTATTACAACCATTATTGTTGTAAGTACTATTGCGTTTAGGGTAGCTCCAGGTTTGATCAAAGCAAATGTAGGACTTCTTAATTTTATACGACTGTTGGCGGACAATATTCATAGCATGACTCATTTTTCTGCAATACTACCTCCCGCGTTCTTGACTGTTCATACATTTACTATGGGCCTATTTCCAAAGCCAAAATCTTCAAAAGCCTCACATTTTTCCAGGGCATGGAAATAGATCTTCAGTTTTCCATGACTGTATGAACCCTTTTCTATTGTATATTAACGTTAATATGTGAAAGGCAGAACACATGATTATTCCAATTGGATCTGAAAAATGCAAGGTCACAATTGTTCCAAGTCAATACCCCCTTTGTCAAATGTGGATCTAAATTTGAACATAAGCTAGTTGGAGACAATTTATTTTATGGGAATCAATATGTTGCTAACAGGGTTGCTTTAGCAGTCATGAGCTATGGCTCATGACTGGATTTATCAAGTCATGAAGCAGTATCAAAATATATACACAATGATCACAGAGAGCGCTAAACCATGGATTCTTTAAACCTTTTTTTCCCTGGACTTGAAAATGTAAGTCAATAGGAGCCAGAGCATTGTCCATATTTATAGAGTCTATGATTCCTACTGTGGAAGGAATAAAGCTTCTCTTATCTTCATTTATCTAGTTGATTATACTTTTAATACCTTGATAGGAGATCTTAAGTTGGCTTATGGACCACTGCTTATTATAGAAATTCGATCCATGGTGTAATGCACAGACACACAAGCGTGAAATTACAACATGTGGTAGAGATCAGTGCACTCTGGGCCCAGCACCATCCAGCACCATCCAGCCACAGCATTGTATCTAGTGTATTTTCATAATTTAGTATGAAAACGTGTACTAATCAAATCCTATCAAAAGACACGAGCTGATCCATGATAATATAAATACTGAAACATTTCTTAAAGTCACCATTTTGTTTCTACCAGTTAATGCGCCTGTCCTGCACTTATCATTTGGCGCTCTTAACTTAACCAAAACAGCAATCAATGAATAAAAACTTAACCACCTAAGAACTTAACCACCTGAGCATATTATTAATATGTGCTCAGGATGCACCAATGCATCAGCTGAATATCAGTATTGACCAATGTTTGCCTTGTTAACCTACATCGGCAAAAAAAGACATTCGCCGATGGTAGGCGCGTGTAAAGAGATACTGGTAGAGGGCGTTCATGCACTTTCCTCAGTAGAAGAAACAAAGAAGATGGCTGCGGTCGAGTGGCAATATTTTACAGTATCAGAAAAAGATCACGTTAGGCAGTTTGTGTGACGTTAGGCCAGTGTTTTTCAACCAGTGTGCCGGGAACGTTAGTAGGCCTTCAGATGTTATTCACTATGCCTTGGGAAATGATAATGTGAAAAAATATATTATTAGAAGATCAGAAATACTTCTTTGCACTTCTCTGATTTTCTAAATAATACACTTTGATGACATTTACTTTGTTTTATTAATAAAGGCTGCAGAGCAACATCAATTTGTATCAGTTTCAGCTGGTGGTGTGCTATGTTAAATGCAAAAAGGTTGTGCCACGGCTCAAAACGGTTGGGAACACTGCGTTAGGCCCTAGTTGTGCGCAAGGTCCTGTCACTCTCCGGTGCGAGGTGTTCTTCCTGCGCAGACTATTCAAAAGCACTGTGCGGTAAATGAAACACTTTGTACTCAGTGGTCTCGCAGTTTGGGGTGCACACTGGGTTTGCTTGCACTGTTCCCTGTAATAAATTTTTGTATTGTTGCTGTGAGATTTCAAGAGGGGGGACTGCTAGAAAATCATCTAACACAACAAATTTCTTTGGACATTTGAGAAGCAAGCATAAACGGAAAACTGAAGCCACCAAGAAATGTATATATAAATAAATAAAAAAATGGCCAAGTTGTTATGTTAAACATCAGTATAAGCTCAACATTTCACAATCAGTGCACCCCTAATATGTGCAGACCAAAGCAAGACTGTATGTAGACTCTATTTCATTATATCTGGTATTTGGTTTGTATACATTTACATTTTATAGTACATCACATCAGCCTTTTACACTAGTTTTTGTGGCTTTTCACAAGTTCAAGTGGAGTCACATCAGTAATGTCACTATTTGAGTGAATGGCATATTCAGGGTGTGAACACAGGACTCGTTTCTCGGGTTAAAATGTGAGCATGCTTGTCCACAGCTCTTCCTTTTAAGGTCATTCTCAGGGCCTCGGTGCAAAGCCAAAATTCCACTCACACACAAGCACACACAGTGGGAGGACACAGAGGGATGTCGTTTCTAACACTGTCAATAAAGCTGTCTCTGTAACACGCTTTTTACACCTTGTGCACAAACACACAGGCTGCCGCTAAGGATGAGGGTCCAACTGATTCTGCTTTTACGCACGCAGAAAAAAACAGCACATGCTTCTGCACGCTGAAACCACAGTTTTGTGTAGGAGTGTGTTTGAGAGGGCCGGCTCCACAGAGGTGTTTATTCCTCCTCTCTGCTCATACATGGGTCCAGACATTATTCTCATACAAAGGGTCTCCTACAGCCGACTATACAGGCTGTGGATCAGAGCAGCACTGAGTCACAGCAGCCAACCCCGTCTGGGCAAATGTGACGAGCAGAGAGATAAACAACTGAAATGTCTTCACTTAGATCAAACTGATCATTTAACATTATTTATTATGAATTACACTGTGGTGTTGATCATCCATCCATCTGTTTTCAGGAGGATAACAATGTTCAACTTTTTGTTCAACCACTGCCACCCTCCGTTTTGGGCATCACAGGGCATTACGTCAGATTTACTGAAGTAATGAGGCTGAACGTGAGTCCAAAACGCGTCGGCGGTGTAAACGCTCCATAAGAGAGCGTCCAGCCACTCTGCGGAGGATGCTCATTTCAACCGCTTGTATCCGCGAACTCTTCCTTTTGGTCATTACCCAAAGCTCATGACCATAGGTGAGGGAGGGAACGAAGATTGACCAGTAAATCAAGAGCTTTGCCTTTCGGCTCAGCCTTTGTTTTAATCACAGATGCCTTATTAAAAGCCAAAATGTAAAACAGTAGACCTAAGTGTTATTGTATAATCTTTAAGAATCAATAGAGGACTCACTAAAGAAACAAATGGATCATTGTTAGTGATCATTTCTTACTTAATTCCCATCCCAAGGTAACAGTGACTCATGGAAATAATATTTTCGAATATTGCTCGTTTGTTGACATATTTCAAAAGACAACCTATTGTCAGCCAAAAAAAAAAGTATACATACAGTGACTGGCCTAGTAAACAATTAAACCCGGAGGATCTGTGGCTCTATGTAAACAGACGGCCAATTCAGAGTTAACATTAGGATGAGTATTACTCCTGTCTAACCTGAATATGCTACACTTGAGGTGGGATGGATTGTCTCTGCAAAGAAGTGCTCACTGAAACAGATTTAGACATATTTGTGAATAATATCTGAACGAGATGGGCTCACTGAGCATTTATACAGTGTTTTAGTTTGACTAAAATGGGAGCATTTATTAATGCAATTGATTGCATTAATACTTTTGTGAATATAGAATTTGAGCAGGGGCTGATTCTGTGCACATGAAATTTTGCAGTACAAGTACATCCAACAAAAATAGAACTTTGTGAAAAAGTTCAAATGAGTTTCACTTTCTGAAATGAGAGACGTTGTAAGTTTTAAAGATGGACTATTAAGTGCTTCATTGGTGGTGTGCTACTTAAGATGGCGTAGCACTGATGACAGGTTTGGGCTGTGAGGGACTGGGCGTGAAGCTCATGTGGCCACAGCTGGGCCCTTCTGGACCAAATCCAGAGTTTTCGTTCTAAGATTTTGTATTAAGTATCCAAAACACAAACAAAGCATACAACTATTCTCTTTGTTAAAACCAGTATTCTATTCTGCTCAAAATGTGCATTTGCGCACAGGGTCACAGACTCAATCATTAAGTTAAAAACAGGAAACTGCGTAGGAGGTGTATTCAGTGAAGGAAAATGTAATGCGGCCACATCTTTTTAAACCAGATGAAGGCAAACATGTGATTAACAAGACTTAACCACACCATAAACTTGGGGTAATAAGACATCTGAAATGTGATACCTCTCTAAATCATGTTGTTTCAAGTGTACCTAATAATTATCTGCACCAAAATGTGTCAACATAACGGAAGTTAAAGAAAATCAAAGTGGCAGTGTTGGGGCTCAGCAGACAAGTGCTCAAGGGGAATCCCCTGAGACTAAAACCACTGAAAACAGGAAATTACTTTGTGCCAATGTGTACTGTTAACTGTACAGTCTTTACGAGGCACATGTGCTTCTACCACAGCATGAGCAACCAAACGCAATATGCCATAAATATGCTGTTCTTACCTTCGGAGGGACATAGAGCTCCAGTTGGTATCTCTCCCCTGCACTCCGACCACTTCCTCTGTGTATGTCCCTGACCCTCCTGACCAGCAGGCGGCAGCGTTGCCACTGAGGCTGAGAGTCCGAGATGGTGTCGTCCACCTGCAGGCAGCGGAGAAGGTCCTCTTTACAGCAGCAGCCAAGCTCCGCTGTCCTGCGCCGCATGCTGCCAGGGCGCAGCCACCTGAAGCGCTCTAGGAAGTGTGACGCGGTCGCAGGGCGGGGCAAAGGCGCGAGCAGCGGGACATCAGAACCTGCGGAAGACGAGGATGACACTGGCTCGACCACAGAGTGGCGTTGAGGTGGCGAGCTGTTGGGGCAGGGGTCTGGAGGACTCTTCTGAAGCAGGCGGCGCACGGTCTGCCGGATCTGGCTGACCGAGAAGTGTGTGACGTCAGCAGGAGTGGAGCTGGACGAGTCGGACGAGTACCGCGGCCGTTCAGAGGGGAGGTCATCATTACTACGGCTACACACGACACGTCTAAACACCACAGGGTTTCCAGCTGAACATCGCAGGGGCACCTCCTGCTCACGGCTTACCGTCACCGGCTCTGCTTTTGGAGTTACCACAAACAAAGGGGCTCCGGTGGTCTGGGGGGCCGACTGCCGGTAGTCCTGAGCCTCAGACAGGTGCGAGGCTGGGGGGGCTTGGGAGCAGGTGTTGTGAGGATCCTTGACCACCTCAGAGCAGAAGTACTGCTGGAACAGGTCGCTGAACTGTTTGGAGAAGTTCTCTGGGGGCAGCACATCTTGGCACTCGTGGGCAAAGCTGCGGTAGTGTCCCGCGAGCTGCCGGGCTGTAGCGATGGCGTGGAGCTCACAGAACTCCCTCCAGCCTCCTCCTGTGGTGCTGCTGCGGTGGCCTGGATGAATAGTGTTACCATTCATTGCAGTAACCACAACTGCTGAGGAGCACTGCAAGAGACACACATGAAACAAGACTTTAAACAAGCAATAAGAAAAGACATGGAAACACAATTATCTTCTGCAGCAAATCCAGTACAATAGCAATGGCCTTTTTGGAAGTGAATGGAGTGAAAAGAGATTGTTTCTCAATAAACACAACCAGCTTCTTATATGTCGCCATGTAATGCGTTACGTGTAGAGCTGCAACTAACGATTATTTTGTAAATCGATTAATCTATCGATTATTTTTACGATTAATCGAGTAATCGCTTGGCTGTGAATTGTGTAGAAAAAAATTATTTTTTCATCACAAAAAGCTAAAGTGGCAACACTCGAGGACGTATTGATGGCGTAAACTTAAAGTAAATGTTTGTAACAGGCTCTTTGTGCTAATTCTGCTCTGATTGGATGAGACAGACAGATATTCATGAAATTATAAAAACAAAGTCGGTTTTAATCAAAAATACTTAATTTTCATGTCATTTTTGCTCTGTTTGAGTCCGTGTGAACCAGAAAACGATTAATCGATTACTAAAATAGTTGTCAACTATTTCAATAATCGATTAGTCGTCGATTAATCGATTAGTTGTTTCAGCCCTAGTTACGTGTGTGAACTTCTGCATGCTTTTCCTTTGAACTCGGCATTAAACCACAATTCATCCATCAAATGTATGAGTAACAGTTTAATCTCTGTAACTCCACATGTATTAGAAAGAAAACATCCAGAACACAAAATTAAAAACTGTGTACTGAGAATACAGAAGTAGTATTGTCAATGTTGTTATTTATTTTGAGGGAAGTTCATTCACTGCGTTTCTTTTCCCTTGCTTGTCTTTTTTGTTTTCTATTTTGATTGTGTGCATTCCTGGATCTGTAAAGCTTGTTACATAACTTGAAAGTTGGCCCAACATACTAAAATTGCCTTGTTTATACATTTCTCTTTTTTATCTCATATCTCACAAAATATAAACACTAAGCAGCAATGTCATAGTCATATGACGCCAAAGGTATATGGCAAACTGCAATTCAGTCCCATAACAGACCTTCGACTCATCAGTCAAAATGACCTAGTTGGAACAAATACGCTACAAAGTCTATAAAAGTCACAGAGAAGACTCCCCGCTAGACACAACATGCCAGTTTAAAGTACAGGGGAGTTTTTGTTGCTTTGACTCAAAGTGCCTATATGGTACATACCAGTGTTCCAAACTCTACAAAGAAGCACAGTGCAGATGCATGCGTGCAGATGGTGTGGGGGCAGTCAGATCCAACAGATCACAATAAACCACAAGTAATCGCGGGCTCCTTGTTGTGGTCGGGCAAACTTGGAGCCGCTGCCTTCGCTATGTTAACAACAATAAGCCACAGTATGTGTGTGATGTTACAAATGCATGATTATCATTTGCACTTATAATGGCAGAAGATGTGAACGTCAATGAAGGCATGAAAACTTGGCACCTCGAAATGTTGCGTCACTAAAGTTCCAGGATATGTCCGGCCACAACAGCCCTTTCCCTTCCTGTAGCTACAGAGCATGCTCAGCGCACACCACCCCTCTCCCCGGCCCCCCCAGAGCCTGCTTCTATCAGCCGGGCCACAGCCATGACTCAGCACACACACAGAACACACCATAAGGGCACACTTCCTCTCATATCTCTCCAGGGGCTTGGCCCACTCTGTTCCCAGGCTCTATTCTCGTTTCAAGTCTGCTGTGGCTGGAATGAAGATCTCCAGATGGGATTGAATTGGTGTTGACTTTATTTTTACCCCGACTGAGGGTCTGAAAGGGTCACCAGCAGAAAACGAGAAATATGGAGAAAATGCTACTTTGGTAAAGTTCAGTTTTACGCGAAATCTCTAACATAAAATTGACAGCAGATAGTCAGCCTGTTCTTGCACCAAAATAGCAACTAGAATAAAAGCAACAAATAGGCCTATCAGACCCCAATATATCACTATCGCAGCACCTTTTTGAAGTTTCCAAAGGGTTGTAAGCTTACAGAACCTTACCTTGTTTCCTAACCACCACTAAACATGCTACTAATCTTTTTTTTCTGAGTGCAGACTAGTAACTTTAATCAAGTAAGAGAGGAAACAGGATGTGTGAAGGACCCGTGAAAGATCTTGTCGCGAAATAACCTCATGACTTGCATCAGTTGGTGATCTTGACCACAGCACATGGAGCAGCACTAGGTTTGTGCTAAGTTTACGTTTGAGCCAAGTTTTTATAAAGGTTATACAACAGTTATCAGTGCAGGAGTGTGCGCGACGAGGGAGGCCCTATTTATATCGCAGAGCCGGTATCAGCGCACACACAACACTCATGGGAACAGCTTGTGTCAGATCTAATAGATATGACTTTAGGAGCTGCTGGTCAAATGTTACACACAACAGGACTGAGATCTGAGGCTGGCCATACACTTTGTGGCCGAACCATGAGAGAGGTGTCGGGAGAATAGCCAAATCCTGCAAAGTATGATGAAAAAGAACCCTTTATTCATTTTCTTTCATAACATCTAATCTCAGGCTGCATGATTTTGGCATAATATCTAACATCTACGTTGTGATTGCGGTGCGATTTTCAATATCCTGTAAGTTTAAAAACGATATCCTGTATGCTTAATGCGTGTGTGAACTTCTGCATGCTTATCCTTTGAACTTGCCGGTACACCACAATTCACCCATCTACTTTGTAGGAACACATTTTTTATCTCTGGATTAGAAAGAAAGCATCCAAAACAAACATTTAAAAACTTTTAGGATTTTTTGTTTTGTTTATATACAGTGTACAGAAGTAGTCTTGTCAATGTTATTATATATTTTGAGGGAAGTTCATTCATTGCGTTTGTTTGTATTTTGATGGTGTGCTTTCGTTGATCTGTAAAGCTTGTTACATAACTTGAAAAAGAGCTCAACAAAAAATAATTGCACAATAACTGCACAATTTTTGCTAAATATCTAACAGCTACTTTGTGACAGCCGTGTGATTTTCAATATCCTGTATGTTTGAAAACGCATTTCAAAAGATGAGACGTCTCCTTTGGAATGAGAAAATGATGCTTCTGCCTGAGAACAAGATGAGAGATATTTGCTTGTCCCAGTGACAAATCTTCGAAATAATCTAAAATCCAGATTTGTAAAGAACTTGTTTGCAAAGAACTTAGCAATTTGATGGTTGCGACAGCAAACGTTGGGATCAATCATGACGCCCTGATTGAATTCTTTTCAATTTCTCTGAAATAAAAAAGAAATTAGTGTTTCAAAGCAATAGGAATTTTTGGAATGAAAATGTAACTTGAAACATCAGTTATACTTTTAGTTTACACTTGAGCTGTCCTACATAGTCGTTTTGTTGATTAGTCACTAGTGTTTTAGTCAACCAGTATTAGAAGCTAGAAGTGGACTAATTGTTAAATTCAAATTTCTAAATTTGTTTTTATTTTTAATCATAAGGTGTAGCAAATAAACTGGAGATGTACTGTATCTACTCTGAAAGCACGGTATTAAAACCTGTAAGAAACTGCTCGAGTCATGTACATATGTCGAGGCTTATTTGGCCTTTACTCCCAGCGTCACAGCAGTGGCACATTGAAATATTATAATAACTAATCAAATGGCTCTTTTTTGGTTTTAAAAATTGGTCACATTAAGGACTATTTATAGGGCTGTGTATAATGATTAGATCCCGGGGAAATATGAGATTTTATTTAGTCGACCAAAATATTTTGTGTTTAAAAAGACTCCTAGAACTACAATCCAATATATAGAGTTCCGACATCGTTATCGTTTAGGGCTCAGACCATAAACAGTAGAATATTTTTTGCTTGATTTTACTGACCTGTCGATAGCCCTTTCTGTATGAACAAAATCATCCGGATCCAATGTCAATTAGTCTGCAAAACAACAAGGCTTCAGTGTGGACTTCAAACGCTCCAGTGGCATGGGCAAAAATGCTGGAGAAATTAAACCGGTTACGCAAAAATCGCAGCAACATGTGCAGGCTGCGGCTGGGATAAAAAACAGATTTGGTTTCAGATTAGAATTTTCATTGTTTGAATCACTGAATGAATCAGCCAGGTTACAGAACAGAGAGGATATAGTTTTACAAGTGAGTCAAGTTAAGTATGTGTGTACAATACTTGTAAGTGTGATCAACCAAACCCCCCTATCTCCCTACACATATCACAGACGCCAAGTGAAGCTGTTCTGTGTGCAACATTGCATCACTAATATGTTCTCCGTTGGCTTCTCTCACTCTACAAACAACACAATTTCCCTTTGTAATGAATGAGCAGACTTAAAGCCTGTCTGAGAAGAGTATTCCAGAAGTAACGTAGAAATCTATTTGTAGTAACATGCTACTGTAACTTGTGTTTTATAAATTAAAAACAAGAATGAGGTTTTCTTAACAAAACCTGCTTTTTGGAATTGGTTCCTTGTTTTGTAGTAGTATAGTGTAGTATACCCACTATTTTGTAATTTCTAAATTAGATATATGTACAATTCACCCTCAAAAAGTCATAAAGTAGAATTCCTACGGTGTAACCCAAAGTGCTTCACAAGCCAAACTCAAATACATGCCATTTAAAAAAGACAATAAAATATTTTAAAAAGTGCAAATTCATATGAAACATACTCAGTCCAGGGCCCACCAATCCGGTGTTTGCTGTGTGGCACTGGCGGAAGAGTAAGTCCATTTGGTTTCCAGCACGTTAAAGGTCCCGTATGTGTCTTGTGCATATGCGTAATCAGCAGCAGAGGTGGAGTCACAGCAACGACCTGAGTACATGTCACGTTTCTAAGTTTGGCAACCTTACCTTATATATTTTAGTCACTTTTTATTTGAACTATGTGTTAGTATGCAAGTTATATGATTGTATTGTCAAGGACTACAGACGGAAAGTAGCATGGGGCTAAATCTGGTGCATCCACTAGACATTGTCCTTAATAAATTAGACTTAAACCTTTGCCCGTCTTTGTACAGGCCTCATATTAATAATAGGATAGAA